TGCAATTTCTCATGTAATTGACCAATCAAACCCATTGGATTTAATCTCTTATGAGATCAAAATCCAACAGTAATGGATCATGAGCTTGGGACATTCCAATGACAGATGTCCGACAAAGGGGTAGAAGTGGAGGAGGGTGAGGGAGAGTGAGTGTTTGATGTGGGGAAGGAGGCTCTGTCTGAAGTGAGTAGATGAATGAGGGATGCGGTAGGAGTAAATTAGTTGCTTGGGTGGAACAGGCAACCAGAACAAGTCAACAAGTCAATGAAAGAGACTAGGAGTGATGCTTCGATGACTGAGTCGGAGCCGGAGCTTGAGCCAGCTGCAGGAGTGACTTTGCATAACTCCACCACTTTCACTGACTTGGGTGGTGCCATGAGCGCCGGAGTCCGCAAGCAGGGAAGCTTGTGGGAGAGTTAAGATGATCATGAGAAACAAAATGGCGAATAAAATCTGCAAGGAAGCTCGGGAGTTGGAGACTTGCCAAGTGGGAGCAATAATTGCCAAACTTTCATTCTTTTGAAAGGATTACAGGAAAGATTCTACATAACACTGAAGAATTTACCTTGAGCAAATTCAGCAACACCTTCGTATTGAAGAAGAGTCTCAGATTAGAGACAATAGGGATAAAACCCTGGCCGGTATATTGAACTCTAAAATCAATTTTGTGGAAAATGGATCGAATAAGACTAATCATGCATTATAAGTAAAGAAGAAGGACGGGAACTTCAAGAAGAGCAACAAATGGAAGGAGATGTTTTATCATTCAGTGATCCTTTTTGTGGTACCACCCTGAAATTTGTAGCTAGCCACCGGTTCCCGAGTCAATGGTTCAACTGTCCAATATGAACGGGCAGTCCGTTCTGACAAAATAAATTAAAAAAAATGAAAAATAATTAAAATTTGAAAATAATAAAAAATCATTGAATGGGTAAACAATTCGAGTGCCCGGATCAATGGGTCATTGACCGATTCAATATTTTTGTCCAAGAACTGTGTTTGAAGTAAAATGGAACTAATTGCCTGGGCAATTTCCAAACCAAATGGTCCAACCATCCAGATCAACGGTGGTTCATGATTTCTATACCAACACCAAGAAGTAGTAGCAAGATCTGTATTTCCAATCAAGGATGTCATCAAAGTGGATGAGGTGGCGGGGTTCAACCTACAAGCAGGCAATCAACAGCAGGCGGCATTCGAAACCTATGAACACTTTCGGAGGCATTGAGGCATTGAGACAGAGAACATGCAACGGAGGGAGGACGGGAGAAGGCAAGGTAGATGATGAAGCGTGGGGGAGGAGGCGGAGGTGGGTGGTGGCAGGAGCATAACAGAGCTGCACGGTAACAAGGGCATCATGGAGAAAAATTGAATGTTCCATGTTTCAAATTCAAATTACCCAACCAAAAAGTAAACAAATAACAGAAGTTTTATGCTCAACCCTCGTGGCCACTTCGAAGGCCTAGCTATCTGAAGATGAGTAGAAAGCAAGGATCGTTATATCCGGCTAATTTGAATAAAAGTAGATGGAAGAAGTGACCAACCTTGGAACATATAAACGAGAGAGAGAAAATGACGCTGACTAAAGGAGAGGAGACCCAAGGTTATGTGGAGAAGTAAGGCAACTCCACGAAGAACGATATAACGGTGGAGTCTGGTGAGAGACAATCCATAAAAATTCATGTGCGGATATCATTTCCTGCATGCAAACACATAGCCCAAAATGAAAACCCATCCCGCTTAATGTGCCTTTCATCCAAACACTTGTCCCAGTTAATGTGCCTTTCATCCAAACATTTTTCTTGGTTAGACAGGAATTATCCATTATTTTATTATTTTTATCAAAATAATTAAAAATAAAAACAATGAAAAATGAAAACTTAAACGTGTTAGGAATTGGGACTCATTTACGTTTTTTTTTTCATTGTTTTTTATTTTTAATTATTTTGATAAAAATAATAAAATAATGAATAATTTTTATCTAACAGAGCAAAAACGTTTGGACGAAAGGCACATTGACTGGGTCCGGATGTAATAGGCACATTAGGTAAACACAATGAGTGAAACGTAATAGCTATGTGACACATGTCCCAGTTAATGTGCCTTTCATCCAAACGTTTTTGCTAGGGGTGGATTCGAGCCAAGCCGAGCTGAATAGTACCAGGCTCGAGCTCGAGCTCGAGACTATTCTATAAGACTCGAGCTCGAACTCGAGCTCAGTTCGAGCCAAAACCTCGAGCTCGAGCTTGGCTCAAGTCAAAAGTTCATAAGCTCGAGCTCGGCTCGACTCATTTTATATTTTATAAAAATATTTAGAAAATATATTTTATAAAAATAAAAATATATAATTTTTTTATATTTAAGAAAATAAGAATTAGCCTCACGAGTCAAGCTCTAGTAGGCTCGAGCTCGACTCGTTTAATGGTCGAGCCACTAAATTGGGCTCGAGCTTGGCTAAAACCGAGCCGAGCCGAGCTCGAGCAACTTGTGAAAAGCTCGGTTCATTGCCACCCCTAGTTTTTGCTCCGTTAGATAAAAATTATCCATTATTTTATTATTTTTATTAAAATCATTAAAATAAAAAAATAATAATAAAAAATAAAAACGTAAATGAGTCCCAATTCCTAACACGTTTAAGTTTTCCTTTTTCATTGTTTTTATTTTTAATTATTTTAATAAAAATAATAAAATAATAGATAATTCCTATCTAACAGAACAAAAATGTTTGGATGAAAGAACACTTAACTGAAACATGTGTCACACAACTATTATGTGCTCACTCATTGTTCTTACCTAACATGCCTATACATGGACCCTTTTAATACACTATAAATTTAGGGAAGAAACAACATTAGGATACACATTCCCACGAGCTGGAAACACAACGGAGGAGAGACGATTCTGGGTTCCATGCTTGGTTGCTGGATGACGCTTTATCTGATCTTGTTTGCTTTCTCTAGTTGAACGGATTGAATGCTGCAAAGCAATCTTGAAACGTTGCAGAAAAAGCCAACAAACCCAGCACCAATAACAAAACTGTACTCCCTTTTGGTCTCCATCTTGCTCTAAAGTCTAAACTTCTTTCTTGTCGCCAAAATCAAAGATGAGTTGCAGTAAGATTACTCTGCTCCTTCATGCAACACAACAAGAAACAAGTGAAAATCTGTTTATCTACTAATAAGTTTTATGAGTGACAAAAATAATTTTAAATAAAAATCGATAACTTTTTAAAACTAATACGACAGAAATTTCCAAAGCCCTCACGTTCTCAGACTCTAACCTTTTTCACCCAACCACACCATTGACAACAATAAGCCTTCGTCAATGGTGTTCAACCTACAATAGAAGGGCGAGCAACATATATGGTGATTGTGGAGTGAAAAGTTTCAAACATCAAGAATATTCAGAGAAAAGCTGATATCTATGTCTAGGGTTTTTCATCTTTCCTTCTTGAATGCCAATGATAGAATCATTTTTTTTTTATATTCCTTTTAATTCCAGCTTCCTTCTTGAATGCCAATGATAGAATCATTTTTTTTATATTCCTTTTAATTCCAACAAATAGTAATGTATGAATGTTTGAAAATTCTTTTCCTCTGTATCTATTGAGTATTTCTTTTTGGTTTTTTTGTGCTATTTTACATTTGTTGTTTGAATTATCCTGAATTCATTGTTCAAAAAACTCCAACCATTAATGGAAAGATAAAGTCTACTTACAATTGTGACTTTGGATATGCAAGACAAACCCAGGACACGAGATTGTCTTCTTCTTGCATGCAAATCTTCTTCTTTATACGAACAAAAAATTCTAAAGCCTTCACATTCTCTTCTCTGTTCTCAGACTTAGACCTTGCTCCCTCAATCAACAAGAACTGTAGTGTTTTGGCAAACCAAATGGAAAAATGAAATAAAGAGAACTAAAAAAAAAAAATAAGATTTCAATATCAAAAGAATTGTTCAGGGGTGCTCTGATACATTATTGTTTCATTTTCCTCATCGATTTTGCTAACTTGAATCACCAGCAACAATAGGATTAAATCAAAGAAAATAATAAAGCGGGAAGCAGATTTTAGCGTCCGCAGGAAGTGCTTTAGCCTTGGGCTTCTTCAGTCCAGGCAATTCTACAAAGCAGTATCTCAGTATATGATACAATAACATTTTCGTGTCAGTTCTGCAAGTACTCGGCTCGAAAGTAGATCCTAAGTGAAATCAAGCGGCTGATGCATCAATACCCAGATGAGGAACTAAGCATAAACATGACTGGCCACAGCTTGGATAGCGCACTAGCAATGCTAAGTGCTTATAACATAGCAGAGACAGACATCAACGTGATGGAGAACGGCCAAGCGGTTCTGGTGATGGTTTTCTAATGAAAGTCAAGATTGTAAACTTCAAGGTGTGAGTGGAGAAATTGGGAGTAAATGTTCATGAAACGGTGCCATAGGTTTCAGATATATCGTTTAACGAGCACGTGCCAAAGTTGATTCACAAGTTGGCATAGTGGTTGCCATGATGTTACTCACATATGGGAATAAAACTCATACTGGACCACGAGCATTCTTTCTTCCTCAATTTTTTATTTAAAAATATTTTATCAGTGATGGCCAGTTGAACACCGACGTGTCAAAATTTTAATGGACTCGAAGAAAAAATCCCTTCGAGTCCAAACGCACTGGATCCGGAGTGCCGCCTTCCCGCCTTGGTATATAATAAATAATTTTAAAACATTAAATTGAAGGAATTTATAAGAAAAAGGTTGTCAGTAACAGTCACTCCACCTAAAAACATAAACTGTGAAGTTACTCTATAAATTTTTATTCTCTATCACGCCCCCTTCACAGATATTCTCTAACATGCCCCTCCACACAAAAGCCTATTGGGCTTGAAGTCTCATACCTTATACTGAAATTTAATTAAAAATCGTCCACTTTAAACCACTTGATCCAACACAAGAAACCATTATTCAACCTTAAAAGCTTAAGCCTTTAAGCCGTTAGGTGATGATCCTGCATAAGTTTTTTATCTCTAACACAGCCAATACTTATGAAGTGCACTGGAGAAATTAGAACTCTGGGAAGTGCTTCATTTCGGATGATATACATAACATTATCGATTGTTACAGACCATGATTCTCAAGGATTCTGAAGGAATAGTTGAGGGATATACCCCATTTTCATTAATATAATGAGCATCGACTTATTTTTCCCCCATACTAAGAGAGAAAAATAAACTTGAATACCTTGATTTCAATAACAGCATTGCTGTTTTATTGTGTCTAATGTTGAAGTTATTTTTCTCAACAAGATCAGTCGACAACAAGTAGCTCAACTTCATCATTTTGGTAGCTTTCAGTATTCACTAATAATAAGTAGTTTCTGTTTTGAACTTACTGTATGTTAAGGTAAGGAGCATTAATTGCACATAAGCACCTATTAATATATTCAAGATATATACCTACACAACACAAGCCCCACCAACAAGCCAGACCAGAGTCAATGAACAACTCCCTTCGTTCTCAGAGAGAAGATCGATGCAATTAATTTTAGTTACAATCGTCGGCTTTAATTTTCAGGGTTTGCACATTGCGAAGAAATTGAACTTAAGTACGACTATCCTGATGTTTGTATGGAAAGGGTTTGAGGCCAATTCCTCTACATAGAATTTTGCACCACCCAGGACAACGTTTGCCAATGAAGTTGGAGAAAAACCAGAATAAAGGAAGAAAATTTCGATGGGCATGCATGCATATCTCTATCTAATATTTCATTCATTTATCTATCTATTCACAGAAGAAGCCAATAAGGTCGTCTGTCATCACCGTCAAAACACAGCAACACTCGGCTCCTCGATCGCTTCCAAAGCAAGGTACAAGGGTTAGAACAGCAAAGCAATATAACAGAAAGAAATTAACTTCACTAGAATTGAAGCATTACCTAATCTTCATTGTCCCACAGTTCAGCCACACTCCTGTATGGTCCGTCGCTTTTATTCACAAACAGATTTTCTCCGTCCAATATTCTCCTCTGCAACCATTATTTTAACAAAACTTAATAATAATTAAATTCACAAACACTAGGAAGACAAATGATTGATATATGGCCTATGTGATACAGAAGAGAGAAGATGATGAATGTACCTGATCACCAAGGTTGGACAGCACCTCGAAGTCCTGCGCCGGGATTTCCCAACCAAACACCTGTATGTTTTCTTTGATCCTATCAGGGTTGCTTGATTTGGGGATGACACTTGTTCCTCTCTGCAACCCCCATTTCACCAACACCTGGCCCGAGCTCTTGTTCAGATTTTTAGCTATTTTATTAACTGTTGGATCGTGAACCAGTTCTTTCCCCCCTTCAGATGACCCCAAGGGAGAATAAGCCTGCACATACAGTACTGTTCCATTTAAGTTTCTACTTGAATCATGAGAGAGAGAGAGAGTGAGAGTGAGGCTTTTTTATCATTTCTACATGCCACAGATCATCTTGCATGCTCCACTTAAAAGTTTCTACTAAAACTAATCCAGATAGGATTTATAAGGGCAAATGTTAAACGTCAATTCTATATAACTAATAACCATCCTACTGCATTCCACAATTCAAGAGATCAATCTTACAGTGACATGGATGCCATTCTTCCTGCACGCCTCCAACATCTTATCATTCCTCCATCCAGGATGCATCTCCATCTGACGAAAATAATAACTGCAGTGACTTCATCTCTTTGATCGATCTAGACTAGGGTCTAGGGGGATTGGGGGAAGAAGATTTTTTGTTAAATTTTATTAATTGATTTAGTTTGTGTGGTCTACCTGACACACAGATGGCTTTATTTCAGCAAATTTAAGTAACTTATCGAGCTTTGTACGTGAGAAATTGCAAATGCCAATATCCCTAACAAGATTATCCTTCACTAGCTTCTCCATTTCTCTCCAAACCGCTTCCATGTCAAACTCTAATACATCCCCAGCCCTTGGAGGCCGCTCGGCTCCATCTTTAAGACGGAATGGCCAATGGATCTGCACATATATCACACCACCATTAACAAAAACTTCAAAAAATTGAGTACTAACAGTTGTACGCAAATGGTATTCCTCTTAATTAATTTCCTTGAAAGAAAAGTTGGGGAAAGGAAGCGAAAGTTAATTAATTAGAGATCAAACGTCCCTTCCCTTCCCCACCTTTTCTTTCAAACCAATTAAACACACTGCATAAATTAATTTCTCAGCTATTCGATCAGGTTTGTTTCTAGCTACCACTAATTATATCATTCAGCTTGCTACTTAGCTGGATGAAAATCTCGTGCATGGACAATACTAAGTAATTAATCATGCATGGGAACATTCACTCACCAGATAAAGATCAAGATATTCGAGTTGTAGTTCTTTGAGGGTGTTATTTAGAGCAGGTCTTACCCTGTCTGGCGACAAGTCAGAGCACCTGTAGAGACAAATTAAACCAGGAGAAAAAGTCTGAAGCTTAACAGAATATCGAGATCGAGATCAAACCCAGATGCAAACAAAGAACTACCCTCTGCTATATATTATATACATGCAGTAGATCAAAATTCAAATGAAGTATGGGATTTAGGCATTATTAGTCTATATATACCATAGCTTTGATGTGATGAAGAGATGCTTTCTGTCGACGCCTGCTTGTATGGCCTTCTTGAGTGCATATCCAACCTTGAAAGAGAAGAGCAGACAATGCTTAGGGCTATTTTGCATAGAAGAAGAAGAAGAAGAAAGATTGAACTGCTATACAGATCGGCTTTCCAAGGATTAACCTCTTGTTGAACTCCATACTGCGAAGCCGTGTCCACGTGTCTATACCCAGCCTGCAGTCATTTTGGTTTTTGGAATGAGATCTACTACGTTGTACACAAACTTACAAATCTTCGGATTCATTAGGATTGACATCTTACGTACCTTTTCTTCTGCTGATCGAGTTTATCAAAATATTCAATTTGCTTATAAGGTGAAAATATTTTTCCATGCAGTTCAAGTCAAGGCAGCAATAGCAGCATCTTCTCCGGCCCTCTCGTCTTAGAAAATTAATAAGCTACTTTCACTTTATTAAAAATAAAAAATAAAAAATCCTATGTGTTTGCTTTCTAAAGCCAGTGAGTTGGGACCGGAGTCGAAATGTAAAGGTTTGGGATCAGGGATGAGTGAATAAATACCTCAACAATTGCGGTGAAGACAGAGTTAGAAGCATCAGAACCAGACTTCCAAGTGCCCAATCCCACCGCAGGTATGATGTGACCGCTCAACAGTCGAAATGACTGGCTCACTTCTTGCGCAACGAACGTGGATTGTGCCATCTTCTCTCACAATTTACTACTTTCCTTCTCTGCTCGATCTGGGATTCTTTCTACCCGTCTTCTAGCGTTCGTTTGGGAATTCGGAGGCAAAGTTGGTTTTCTATTTTTATGTTGTATACGGTGTGGGTATGATTATTTATAAGGACAATTGACAATTCATGTAGCTTCTAGGACAGTACAGGGTGACTGCCAGGTGTGAACGAATGAGACACTGAGATTGCAAGTGGACTGGTGCATGTAGACCATGTGGCACATGGTTGACACGTGGTTGGTAGATAGATCTCACAGACTCTTTACAGCTTTTCCGGCACCAGCACCTACGTACATGTTTGGCAATTAGCCTTGCCTTTTTGCCTCCTCCCACCTAAATCCAGAGTTGGATCCGATAAGAAATTAATGTCATCCGAATCCCATCGGATGTTATGATCAATACATTATACATTGAGTTCCACTCCGATCGATTTTTCGAATTTCATACCTCCTCATCCGACTTCGATGAGTTTTACCCAAGTTTCATTTCACCAAGAAGGATTTTGCAAGTTCAAACAAACAAAACAACAAATCAATGGAAAAAAAAAAAAAGTTAAGGAACTTGCCGTTTCTCTAGGTGAGAAACTGAGAACTTAAGAGGCAAAAACAATCGTACTTCAATGATTCATAGTGGCGGTCCAGCAGCAGAAGATTGAATTGCTGTTCATCTATCGTTAGGGTGAAGTCTTCACTGTTTAACAGTGGAAATAGTGAAAACAGGGATCTGGACGGGGAACCTTTCGAGGCCCGGTTCTCGGGTCCAACGGTTTGACTGTCCGGTCTAAACGGACAATCCACTCTGACAAAAAATTAAAAAAAAATGTCAAAAATCATTGTCCAAGTCAATGGTTTGATGATCAACCACCCAGGTCAGCGATTCATCAATGAGGTGGCTGGTTTTCGGTTTTCTGGTCCGACCACCCAGTCCAGTCCGGTTTTGAAAATGCTACTACTGAACTACAGCCAGTGGTGGTCAACGGTAAAAGATTCAATGGCAAAAGAGACATTTGATGCATTTCAAGTTTATGCCCCAAGAAGCACCATATCATTTTAAAAAGGAGAGAAGCGGGCCTGCATTTGAATTCACTAATGGCTTCCAACAATGCTAGTTTGTTAGTGGATTTCTAATGGTTAATTTGTTAGTGGGTTTCTAACTGCTAGTTTTATTAAATATTCTAATGATTAGTTTTACATTAAATACTTCAACTACTAGTTTATGTTCTTTATATAAAGCCTTGTAATGTCAAAGTTATAAGCATTAAGTTCTTTCCTTTGTTTTTTAAAAATCTAAAACTTTCTTTGAAAGTTGAGAGAATCTTCTCTTAAGGTAAGTCTCCTCGTCTTTGGGTGAATAAATCCCCCAACCGTGTTTCCTCATATTGTAAGTTGTCTTAAATGAATGTAGATTCATCCAATCTCCTTTTTTTTAAATTCTTTAACCAAATTTCTTTCACATTTTCTCTTTCTATTTAAACTATATCATCATTGAAATTGTATATTACAATACACCCAAATAACTTAGGGAGAATGACTGATAACCCCAGGGTCAAAATTTATAGGTTTAAAGTATATTTGGGGTAGGTGCCAGTTTCACGGGTGGGTATGTATGCATAGAGTGTGGTTTTTAGACCTTCTGAATGTTTATAGCTTTGTAGTGGGAATTAAAAATCTATATTAGGCATGTCCGTACTTTTCCGAATAACTTATTCAAAGCACATTGATGTAGGGTGATTTGGCCTAACCTAGTAATAGGGGGACACGTGGACACAACCTAACTGACAGGATGACAGCTCACTCCAACGCATCAAGTCTGCAACGGACCGAGCTCGGATAACCGAACCACCTCGGGGCAAGTCCACTTTGGGACAAGTTCACTTCGGATCACGATTACATCAAGACCACCTCGATTCCAAGGCACTTCGGCATTCGTACCAGGTCGGATCCAAAGGGCACAAGCTCGGGTAATATTGACCGACCTATGCTTGACAACCCCAAAGATCTCACCACTAGATTTCACGCTTTACGGGATCACGCCTCGTAACCACTAACCTTATCTCCCCCGACCGATTCGGGCGACAGGGATAAGCCTTATCGACTAGCAGTGTTATCTCCTATTAACACGGAAACGGGCCTCATCATAGCAAGGATCCCGAAACCACTCTGAAAAACCCGCGAGGACTCCAGTATATAAAGACCCCAACCCTCCAGGGGCGAAGGTAGGCGTAATCTCTACTCACTAGCTCTCTTGTTTTCTAAAACTATCAGCTCGCAAATTACTGACTTGAGCTCGCAAACTACTGGAAGCCAACGCATCTCCAACTAAGAGCAACCGAATTGCGTCGCATCACACATGTAGAGTAATGTAGACATTTGATATGATATATATAAGAGTTTGGATAAGATGGGCTTACATGCGAATTCAATCCAATTTTCAATGGGATTGTACTTGTCCTATCCAAATCCAATCCAAAACTCATTATATTCTTTTAACTATATTAAACTCTGAGATAATCAAATTGGATTTCAGATGTAGAAGTAAAAGTTTTAGATACCGTTGACAGGAATTGGGATCTGCTCCTCATTGAGCACTCCTCATTGAGCAAATTGTATTGAGAATATCTCCCCATGAATAATGAATGCAAGCACAGAACATGTTCCCAAAGCGCTCCAAGGAGCAGATCCTGTCTCCATTTACAGACCTACCATTGAACACACCCCACAACACATCTCAACGTGCATTGATGGTCAATCCGAGCTTTATATTTCAGACTTTGAGGACTTGTGCATTGCAGATCTCCTAAATTTAAGGCTTTGTTCTTCTAATTTGTACACTAATCAACAAGAATTCTTCAAAATTTACGGGGTGATTTTTTTATCGGACTCTCAAAAAAGATATGCACTTCTCTTGTAAGATTATATTCTTCTTTGAATTTAGGCTCAATTTAAAAGGATTACAAATACAAATATAGAGTGCAAATACATACAAAATAATACAAAATACAAAGTTTTGCACACTACATATTTGTATTTGTACTCCTTCCAAACTTAGCCTTGGCAACAATTTTTTTGTTGTGCAAAATCCAAAATACAAATAAAATAAAATAGAGATATGAGAAATAAAAAAAAAAAAGAAAAAACAAAACAAAACATACACAAATTTCCGTGACTCGGCATACTATATCCATGGGTGATAGATGAGCAAAAATTCACTATAAAAATTGAAAATAAAAAAATACAATGGTTGAACAACCTATCTTTCGCAGAAACCCTAAACTCTAATGCACACGAGCTCTCACTCTGAAACTTGTTTTCTTCACATGCAAGCCAAAAGATGCATAAGAAAAAACCAATAACTTAACATTATATATTGTAGCTTCAAATCCTGCAGATCAAGGGATAGATTGAGGGACCAAGAGATCACAAGTTTGATCAGGGATACGAGAAGTCTCGCGATTTCACCCCAGAATGCTTCCCATTCCCAAGAGGGAGAGTCGAGAGACATGTTCATTGTCTCATTGATCGTAAACATGCAATACCGCTACAATGCTAACTATTTTGATTTTTGAGCGAAACGATCTTTCATACAATGGGCATTACAGCCAATCCAATTGTTTTGTCCCTTGGTAAAGATAAGTTCTAGTATATACTTAACCACGGGTTCCATAAAAAAAAAATCGTATTTATTCTCAATCATGCCCATTACATCAGTTTTGTATCTTTCTATTCTCTACTATCTTGCCCGTACACTCACCAAAATTTAGAGAGCTCTGATAGACAAATTACACAAAAGTAGATGCATGGAGATTGAGATCCGTTTCTTTGATATCATTCCCAACATCTGCAAAAGAATAATGATACAAAATTTCCAAGTATGAAGCTATGAAGTAGGATTATCACCTGATTGGTTATTGATTTCATCTATACTTGCTTCCTTTATGGTGCTGCAACTTGATGTAGATGAGTTAACGTTATCTAAAGGTTGATCAGGCAGCGCTTTATTTCTCCGTGTCTGCAATCCTGTATAGCGAGCAAGATCTACCCATTGCTGCAGCATTTAGAAACAACATAAGATCAAGTCCTAGACTTAATGGCACTGATGGTAGGAATGACAATGCAATAGAATGATAGATGAAAACCAATTGATGTTGGAACGTGCAGATTACATGGTGAAGCAAAAACCAGAAAATGGGAACATGACAATCCCCATTCCCCCACCATCGCTAATAAGATCAGAAAACAAAATGCACCTACACAGCCTATAATGGAAAAAAAAAAATGCAGTGAAGTTCCAAAATTTGTTCTGGATGCTTGGTCTGGCTAAAATGAACCATGAAGGGCAAAGGAGTAATATAACTTCTGACAATCATGTTTTTCAAATTTTATCAAATGAACCTCGTGAAATAAGAAAACTAATGCGAGAACAAAAGTTAAGATGATTCTAACCTGTGTTCCCCAATAGGAGTTGATTGTCCTAACAACAAAAGATAACATATTTACAAGTAATGGTTGAGAAGACAGCAATTGATCTGAAATCCGATGCTCCACTATTCCAGCAATAATCTGCATTAAAATAAATTTCATTTGTTAAATATGAAAATTTCCAAAGGTGAGGGTGAAGTAAGGGTCTCACCCTCCAAATACAAACAAAGAACAGAAGTAGTAATGATTCATTGGTTCTACTTCTCTTGTGGAAAAGTAAAACATAAGTAAAAACTAAAAACTCCAATAATGTTTGATAATAATTTATTTCAGTATTGCTCTTCAACTTCAGAAACCTAATTCCAGAATGGCATAGTTTTTAATGTTGATAATAAATCAACTAACAGATGATTTTGCAGGTTGCAGGCTTGAAAAATCAACTAATTCCAGAAAGGACTGGTTTTGCAGGTTGCAGGCTCAAGGCTTAAAAAGGAGGCAAAAACCAAAGGAATGCAGGCCAGGGTAAAATACATTCTTAAAAGATGATGAAACATTAGAGGGAATAAAACGTGAAATAATTTATATGGTCAACCTCAAATAGTTGAAGAAGACTTTGAATGATGATATCAATGTACCATCAATTACGTACCACAAGCATGTAATCTTAATTGTGCACCAATTTATCTCACCAAATCAAGCAGGTTAACTCAGTAACAGTGTCTCTTGATAAAAAGAACAATGAAATGGTGTAATAAAGAGGCCATTCAAAGAAACCAATAAGATAGATCCTGTAGTTACCACATGGGGGTGGGGGGGGGGGTACATGCAGCAGGAAGGGAACTACCAATTGGTAAGTGCTTTCAGGTTATGTAGCTCACAATGGATATCCAGGAATAGGACAACTGATTATTGATCCCCCACCCCATTCAAACTACACGGGAAATGCATGTTTTAGCCATCTATTCATTTGTTTTCTCTACTAGCAGTTCTTCCATTTAGTAATTCCCTTTGTGGTTGTATTGAATTTTACCATGGGAGACAACTAGAAATGGTAAATGAGAACAAGATTTAGCCTTTCGACTAAGAAAACGTCTTTCCCACAATGAAACAAAACAAAAGAAAAATAAAAACAATATATACCTGATACCGTAGATTTGCTGATGTTCCAAGAAAGAGCCCATAGACTACTGCTGTCTTTAATATAGGAGATCTTTTATTTTTTTGTTGAATAACCAATTCCGGGTTCAGTGTTCTCCGTATTGCATATAATACATTTGAGGCAGCTACAGCCCCAATGCTGGAAACAAAGCCAACACTAGCAAGCTTCAGACCACCAACAAGCACTGATGCAACCCTATGACTCAAATTCCAAACCTTCCCAGCAACATTTGTTTGGAATGCATTATCTGGGATAGACCCAAGAAGGCCCTTTAAAGTATCCATGCTCTCTGGTGCAGTTACCTGATCAGTATATGGAAGGAATGACAAAGTAGGGGCAGGAAGCCACACAGTAAAGAAATCAACAACTGAACCCCTGACAGTATCTGTGATAACATAGTCAAGCTCCTCAAAGAAATTTTCTTTACGTCTCTCATACTGTGCCAAGAGAGTTGTTGTTATTGATATGGCTTCTTCTATAGCAAGCCTATGTAGGAATTTAGGATCAGCCAACAGTCTTTCCCGGAAACCCTGCATCAAATCAAGATTGAATGCAGCAACTCTTGAAACATTTGGAATTGCATATGTGATGCATATCTAGTCATATATGTGTTCTTTACCAATGACATGACTTAGTCCCACATGGCACAAATTAACCAAATGGAGAATGTGCAGGCCAAAAATCAGCTTGGTGACTTCCAAGCACTGGCATTGAGCTTATGTTTTCAACCAATAGGCTTGGATGGCAGATAGTCTACCAATGCAGACAACATTCATAACTGTCTGGTTCATACTTTACCAACGCAAACAAAACATTGTAAGGGTTAAAGGAAAAAAAAAATGAGCAAAACATAAGCACCAAACACAAAGAGCACTTCCTATTCCTCTTTACCATCTAATCAAAGAAAGAAATTCTTTCAAGATCTAAGTGTGATTTCTATAAACCAAAAGAAATGAAAGATAGTTAATCCTTGAAAACAACTTACCTGGAAGCGATGAGTAAGTTTGGAAATAAGGGGATATTGCTCCAGATCAAAGAAGTTCTGTAGCACTTCTGGTGACACCAGACCAAGATCCAGTCCTTGCTGAAGGTCCTGGGCAGCACATCACCAAAAAAAATAGTCATCTTTTCTGCTAAGAAGAGAATATCTTCTGAGAAAAGAAAGCTATCTCTTGAATGGATGCATCAATTACATTCATAGTTTGCCCCATCTGCATAATCTTTTAATTTTAAATAAAAAATATAGGAAATACAACAATTAGCATTTTGTCTCCAATACATGTTTGAGTGGATAAAAAGAATTAGTATTGTATGGTAAGCAGAGGTTTGGACAATCAAATAACCAATTAAACCTTGAAATGGATGCAGCATAAATAAGAACATTGAAATGGATGACTGATAGGCATGACCAAAGGCGACAGAATTAGAAAGAGATCTCCAGCAGGTAAGTTCTACTTGAATGTGCTTGGATTTTTTGTGTGCAAGTATGGTGGGGATCTTACATGTATAACCTTCTGGTTATACTCTAGAAAATCCAGCAAGTCAATTTTTCCCTTTTTTACATTTTTTTGAGCATTACTATAAGTTGATTATGGAGAGCTATTCTACACCACAAACTCTTTATCTCAATTCAAGGAAAGTAGTCCATATATGAGAACGGAGAACCAATATTTGCCAGACAAAGAAAGTAGAAGCCAAAAAAGGATCTACATTTGGGAATAAATAATTAACCTGGGGTAGAGCATCTCGCCTCCTACCAGCAGCATTCATTACTCTAGCAATTTCAGCACGATCAAAACAATTCCTACTACAAGGTCTAGCTGCAGAGTACCACAAGAAATCAGCAACAGGGACTTCTCCCTCTCTACGTATATGTTGCCTCTCAGGATCAAGTAATATAACTGATTGGTTTTTCTTCTGCAACTTCTTAGAGATTCTAGCTGGCAGCCCTGTCCCTCTTGATCCATACATAACATGGCTTGCACCTGTCACTACAACAAGCATACCCGAGGAACCTCCATCTACCAATGCTTGCAAGATAACCTGGGACATTGTGTAATCTTCCACCACTCTCGCTTGTGCAGAAAGATATGAACTTGGCCCAAAAGGAACAGACTGATTTTGAGAAATCATATCTATTGGCAATCTACGGGAGATAGAAGTAAAGCCTGTAATAAAGCCTGAACCAGCTGGAGGAGAATACATTTTACGATCTGCCTTAGAAAGGCCACGAATACCTTCAGCTTGAACGGTTCGCAGAACCTAGTCATTTCAGCAAAGTTGATTTCCCAGAGTAATATCACAGGTCATGCATAAACAGCAAATATAATGTAAAAATGCATACTATTAGTAATATGTGTGTCAACACACTACGAAAATAAACCTATGAAAAGCATCAATTCAATGGTATATATATATATATATGCTTACAGAGCATCACGCAAAAGCATTTTCATAGATAATGTAAAATTAGTATTTCCAGATTGTAACAAGTAAAGTGCCAATTGGAATACACTGGAAAAACTAAACCAGGTGACAGCTTCAGAAGTCAGAAAGGAAAGTAGTAATACTTATGCATAAACAGTCGGAGCAGAGAAGGTTTCAAGAGTCAAAGCAAGATAAGGCACAGGATGGACACATTGTACCAGGTGCTTCCAATTATTGCAGTAATTGTGCATTCTACTTTTAATGCAAGTATAACATTATAAAATTGTGACATAGAAATTAGCAAAAAGTGATAATTAATCCTCATGCATTGAAAATCATAAGACAAACTTTTACATTCATTTGCTCTAAAACCAGTTATTTCTTCTTTCCAGCATCTAAAATATAAAGGTTTAGTGTTTGATAAACAATACAGACTACAGACGTCTTTTAATACCTCAAGTGGGGTACCACAAGCAACGAGACGAACTCCATTATCACGGCAGTAACTTAACAAGGGTTCATACTCCTGCCAACCCTGAGGAGGCCAATGTGAGGTGTATGATTTCAAGGTCTCACCATCAATCCTGCCATCATGTAATGCAGAAAGGTAAGAAGCAAAGACTGCAAACAATATCCAAACCCCAATTTTATCCAAGAAGGCATAATTCCAAAATGATAGTGGAAGAAATTTATAGATGTAATAAAACAAATCCATTTAGGGTTCTGAACCATGGTTCATAAAATGCAACAAGCTCATTCTAGCTTCGTTGAAGTAAGAAGAAATTATATATGACAATCTCATTTTGTAAAACTTAAGGGTGGAAATGCCTGCTGGAAGAAATGATAAGATTCATTTTACTTATTCTAGTTTTAGTGAATGCATAGCATATCCCGTTTTCTTCTTTTCTTTTATATCCACATGGTATCTTCTGTAACACAGCTCAGTTCCAATTATTTTAGTTTGCTCTCCCAATACATAGAATTTAATGAAGAATGATAACAGAGACAGCAAATCCAACCAAAAGTCAGCCGTTGCTTGGAAGAAGGAAAAGCATGTCAATAATTGAGAATGAATAGTTTCATTGTAATTGCCACCATGCTGTAGAGGTGAGGTGCAGAACCATGCATTAGTCCCCAACATAAGCATTTGAAGCAAGTGGAAATTAATGATGATTAGTTGTTAAGATATTTAAAAGGTAGTAGCCGAAGCTTTCTCTCTCTCTCTCTCTCTCTCTCAGGGGTGTTCTGAGATCACATAGAAAGATGGTGAAGGCCGTTGCTGTTCTTGGCAGCAATGCAGGTGTCAATGACACCATATACTTTACTGAGGAAGAAGATGGCTCAACTAAAGTAACTGGAAGTGTTTCTGGTCTTAAACCTGGGCTTCATGGATTCCATGTCCATGCTCTTGGTGACACAACAAATGGTTGCATGTCAACAGGACCACATTTTAACCCTCATGGTAAAAGCATGGTGCTCCCGAGGATGAAAACTGTCATGCTGGTGACCTTGGAAATGTTACTTTTGGTGAGGATGGTACTGTTAACTTCACCATAGTTGACTAACAGATTCCTCTTTCTGGACCCAATTCAATTGTAGGAAGGGCTGTTGTTGTGCATGCTGATCCTGACAATCTTGGAAAAGGAGGACATGAACTCAGCAAAAGTACTGGGAATGCTGGTGGCAGAGTAGCCTGTGGTATTATTGGTCTGCATGGTTAATCTGGCACTATCCCATATATTGGGGTAGAATTTGCGGTTCTCCAAGGGTTTCTTCATAGGGTTCTTGCAAATTGAAATTATATGGAATAAAGAGATGGGCGTGTATTGTGAGATATAGCTGAAAAGCCTGAAAATGTGTTGTTTCCTCCATGGCTCTTTTTGTCATAGAACCTGAGATGTTTGTACTGCTCAAAAAAAAAGATATTTAAAAGGTTGTACGAGTTATGCTCGATCCTTTTGATTAGTATTAAGAGGACAAATAAATGATGATTAAGACTTAGGTTGCTGTAAAATGTTCACTCTACTTCAAGTGGAAGATGGTCAGATGGAAACTTGGCAGTTTGCAGCGAAGTAAATTTGGAAATCCTATTGAGACACTACTGTTCAGAGAACCAGATGACTGAAAGTGGAACTCTTACCAAATGGTAAGGCACACAGCTTCGAATCTCAGAACTTCGATTCAGCATCAGAATTTAACAGAAATCTACATTAACCTTGCAGGCAGATAATAGCATATCTACAACTAAGCAAAATGAATGTGAAGCTTATCATACTAACAGAGTGCAATTGGTTGTAGGAGAAGTTCTCAGCTATAGAAATTTACCCAGTCAAAAACCAAAACAAAATTAAATATCATCTGTCTAAGTTGCTGCACCAACTCAAAGATGCTCCTTTTTGCTTAGACAGATATCCATGGCCCGTTTTGAGACATTACATCCTTAGTTTATTACATTATAATGATGTCAAAGAAAAACCACGTCCCAGTATAGCAGAAGGTATAATTGTCAAATACACTAAAACGCAAATTAAGCAGAGCAAGTAGGCTGCTATGCTCTTTTAGTTAAAAATATAAATAAATAAATTGTAAACCAAGGTTACCGAACTTGGTTTCTTTGGAAATTGTTAAGCAATTAAGCAGAATTTTGGGGGAGGGCATACTTTTTATCCATATATTGATTAAGCTGCTCCTGCAAATTCAATGGAAAGGCTTCCAGAGCAAGGGAGATGGGCCTTTCCTGCTCAAAACACCTGTTTCTTAAATTTTTAACCATTTCAAGTTCAAGATCCTTATCGTCGCGAACTGGAACCTGTTCAGCTTCTCCTAGATAAACAACACGTGCATTCAACAACTTATCCCAAACCTTGTTCCTATCCTTACCGACGGCCTGGGGCTCTCCGATAACGGTTGCATCATATACCCTAGAAATTATGACGTCTTCCTTTTTCTTCTCGTCAACCATTGAAACCGGCAGAGGTGCAACACTCTCCGGTCCCTTATCCTCCGCTCTGGCAACCATAGACCGTAAAAAGTAAGCTCCGACCGCCAGAAAAGGCGTGACCAGCACCTCTCGTCTACTTCCGCCGGGAATACCCGGGTTTCTATCCAAGTTTTCAACATTTTCCAAAGGATTCCGTGAACAACGAACCGTAAGACTTATTCGACGACGTTTATGAGGTGGAATTGAACGGAAAAGTACTTCTCCAACTCTGAATTTCCGGCAAAATTCATTTTCTGACTGAATGCAGCGGCGACGGGAAACATGGCAGAGGGAAACCGGCTTGAAGCAGAAGTCTTTATGAGTTTGGGGTCTCATCTCTGGACGGCGTGGATTTCTTAGATCTTCTTTTTACATGGCGCACGAACACAGAGGGAGACGGGGTAAGGCTCGTAAGGGCCTAATGGGGGGAGGTATCGTGGCGACTGGCGAAGATCGCAAATCGCGTCTCACTTTGGTATTTCTGGATTTTGAAATTTGTGTATTTTCAGACGTGGATAGAGATATACACAACTTTTGAGTGGTTCGATAGCTCCGAGAAACTAGCGGCTCGAGTTTACACCGTCGTCGTCGTGTGCACGATATTTTGTGTTGCTTTGCTCTTTGCTCCATTTTCTCTCGCCACAAGACGCGAGTGGGAGGCAACGCCACTGCCACGTCGTCGTCGTCTCATCTCATCAACAAGTTTTTTTTTTATTTTATTTTTTTTAGGTAAATTATTAAGACCCCCGTATTATGAGATCTATGATAAAGATTCCTTGTACTTTTGCGACAAAAACTCTGTATTATGACCGTGAAACAAAAACCCCCTTCTGTTAACTTTCTTTTGAAATTCGCCGTTACAATATTTTTTAATCTCCATATTACCATCCTTCCTTGTAATAAGAAAAATACTGTTCATCTTCCTTAGGATACACGAATAGCTGTTCTCCAATATTTTCCCTCGCTTTGTTCGTCGCGTATCAACATCATATCAGGTTTTGTCCTTGACATGTTTACAGGAGCGAATCACTTCGTCCCGCGCGGAACTATCGAGTCTCCGGCAAAACTTAACCTTTCCTGGATCCGGTCCGGGCTGCGTAGCACCCCAGCTAGATATCGGTGTCATGGAGATTAAGCGCCTGGGTTCAGACATGGCTTATTCTGAAAGGTAGAGAACTTATCGATCTCCCCTTTTCTCCTCCCCTATAGCCACCGGAAGAGCAACCCCTCCTCCTCCATTTCCACCGCCTCCTCCGCCTTCAAACCCGTCACCGACTTCCACCGCTGCATTTGATTGCAGCGGCGGAATCGAACTCAACAGCGGCGAATCCACCACCGGCCCCTCTCCCTCTCTCTCTCCATCGTTGTTTGAAATTTTGGAATTTAATTTTGATTTCCTTCACTTGGGCGATAAACGCAACATCTGCAACGGTAACGACAACAATGTTCAAAATCGTCAGGGTCGTTGCTTCTTCTACCACCCGCAGAACAGCGAAACCAACAACTTTGATTCCTCCAGGGGCCTCCACCAGGCCAGGTATGCTCGCTCTCTGTGCCTGCGGCATCACCGGCACTGGTACTGTGTTCCTCTTATCGATCTCCTACTGTGTTCCTCTTATCGTCTATAACAAAGGCTATAACGAAGGCTTGTACGTGTTGGCAGGCATCGAATCGTTTGTGACCTTGTATCATCACGACCTGCCATAAGAACTGGAGGACAGATATGGGGGATGGTTGAACCCTCTAATACAGTAAGCCCGGAACATTCGGTTTCTCCTATCTGAATCTCGTTTAGATTTTATGAATTATAAAACACAAATTTCTGGGGAAGTGTGTTTGTTTCTCACTGTCACAAATCTTGTGATGAAGAGATAGAGTTTGAATGGAAATAGAAAATGGGATTTTGATTTTGTTGGTGCTTATTGTTGCAGGGAAGATTTTGTGTATTTTGCGCAAATCTGTTTTAGGAGCTTCGGGGATCTGGTGAAGTTATGGAGTAGCTTGAATGAGCCCAACGCGTATGCTCTTTAAGCGTATCTCTTGGGACTGTATCCACCATCTGTTGGGACTGTATCCACCAGGCCATTGTTCGGAGATTGAAGTTGTAAAATTATTATTAAGGATCTCGATTTGCACAGTAAGAAGCCTCCGGGGGAGGGATTTGAAGGAATAACTATTAAAATTTGGGGAATGGGAGAGAACAAGACTTAGAGGAAGAAGAGGAATCGGGGAGAGAGAGAAATGTGGAATACTGCCGCTGCTGTTCGTGTACCGTTAATTGGGGAAGATGAACAGTATTTTTCTCCTAATTTCGTGTAACGGCAGATTTCAACGAAAAGCAAACAAAGGGGGGTTTTTGTGTCACAGTCATAGTACAGGAGGAGGATCTTTGTCATAAAACAAAAGACAGGGGTCTTTGCCACAGACCCATAGCACAGGGGGGCTTGCATATTAACGAAAATATCTCAAAAACATACAACAGAAAATAAAAGTCCTAATTTCTTTGAACTATTCCAGTTAATCGACTAACTCTATCCTTGCGATTTATATATTGTCTTAAACCATCCTTATTGTCTATCCTTGTCCTTAGCATATGTTAATATTCCATCAACAAAATCGTTGGTGATATAATTTTTTTCTAAAATCCAATATCACCCTTCGTCCCTTTTCTCTGTAAGTCGGGTAAGAATCACCGCCCGTGCCTGTGTCATATTTGATCACCGTCCTCTCTCTTCATTCTCTCCCCACCCTCGCCAATGCAGCATTGTCATTATCTACGATTTTCCCTCGTCAGTGGAGCATCTTTGTTAGTAGCAACTGGTTATTCTAATAGAAATCACAGCTGCCTGAGATTTAAACTTCCCTATAGTGAACCGGTCAACTGGGTTTCCCAAATCGTTTCTTCTCAAGGGTCGGAGATCGCCTCATCCTTCAACCTCCTTGATGCCAATCTTGCCCTCTCAACGATCAACCTCCTTGATGACCGTAGTACTGTAGAGGTTTCTGCGACCAAGCCCAGTTTTGGACCTCATCACCGATGGCTATGTTCAAACCGTAAGCTAATGTTTTGCCATTAGCGTCTCGTAAGCACCTTYGTGCTGAGCCGTCAGAGCACAAAAGTGGATGCTAAACTAAAGGTGCATCAATTGATACCTTCTGCCTCATAAACTTCTCCAGCGGCTTCACTGGTCGCTGGTCTGCCATTCTCAGTGTCTAGAACTATAAACAATAGTCAGAACATCGGCTTACCAATCGCCTACCATGTCCACCCTCGTCCAGTCAAGTGCTTCGCCTATCTTCATTCTCACTTGCACCTCCTTGTTAGGCCTAGCTAGGCAAATCGATGAGCCTTCTAAGGTTGAGCGAGGGAGCCGCTTTCTTCTAGGGTCGACTTCCCGGTTAGCTTCTTTGCTCTCTGGCCAGCAGTCGCTCCTGTTCTTCCCTCCAGCATCTTGTCCTGGGCGGATTGTACTTCGCCCTCGACAAATGGTCGGCGTCTTCTACAGGGGGTGGCTGAGCCATCCTTTGATTCTCTCTTTTAGTAGCCCCTCCACAGAAACATTCATCGYCGCCTTCATTTCTGTAGGATTCTCTGGGCGACTTCCTCAGTGGGTAGTGGGAGACCTGAACAAACCCATTCCCTCCTTGGAGAGAGATGCTAGCCGACTAGCTTGGCTCGCCTACCTCCATCTCTCAAGCGACTTCCAATGCTTTCGCCTCTTGGGCGATTTGCTATTAGTGTCGCAGCTCTGCTTCTCTTCCACTGGGGATGGCGACGCTTCCTCGTTTCCAACTGCTCATACACTGTATGTCGCCTTCATCTGGTTGGAACACGACTTGGGAGATATTTCTTGATGAGCAGCTCTACAGGTCTACAGTCGAAGATAAGACAAACTGAACAGGGCTTTCTCTCTCCTCTTCTTCGTCTTCTCTACAATCGAACCCCTGTTCTAAAGCGAACCCTCTTCTTCGCCTTCTCTGCAATCGAACCCCTGTCCCCTGTCCTAAAGGTCTCTATTTTTTTCCTTTACTCGGATCCAAGAGCAGGACCGTCAAGACAAGGGGCTCAGCGTTCATCCATGGAAGATCTTGTTTTAGTTGTGTTAAACAAAAATCTTTCGTTGATTTGTGAAGTGGCAGATTCTTGACGTTTCTGCTGGTATTTCAAGTGGCAAATTCCCGGCATTGCTGCTACCAAAGTTCCATGCTAGTAGCGACGAAATTATCAGTAGCAGATCCTCCGTTAAATTAAAGAATTGCAAAACATCATCATCATTATAACTGTTCGTCAGTGAATTTTATTTTAAAATTTAAGAAATAGTTGAGAATAAATTTGACATTTCATTTCTTTCCGTTTTATCACTGTATCAATTTTTAAAAACAGAAAAATTACAATTAATCAATTAACTAAACAGTAAGGATAATTTAAAGAAATTACCCAAAATAAAAACACAAAGAATTGGATTTTGTAATTTGTACTGGTCGGGTTTGTCTCATCTCGTGTTCATGTAGATTTGATCCCAACTGATAAGAATAAGATAGGGCTGAAATGGATCAGATTTATGTCGATGCAAATAATATCCAATTTATCATAATTGGACACCTGCTCTGTAAACAACTCGAATTTGAATATTTGTTTTACGTATCTATGGAATATCAGATATAATCCGAATATCTTGGATTCTTTTATCGGATTATATTTGAATAATAACCCCTGGCGAAATTTGGTCCGATCCATTTGCAACGATAACACCGGTGCCCCAACCCCAATGGAGATGTTGATTTATCAAAAAAACAATAAAAAATAAATAAAATAAGATTGTATTTATTATTTCTTATTTTAAGTATTTATCTTTTTTTTCGGTTAAGAATTCGGTGTTCGTAGAAACATTTTAACTATAAAAAAGAGATAAATCCTTAAAATAAAGAATGCTCTAAAACCAATTCAAACCCAAACACGAAATTATCTTGTATTTGTCTAATTAATAAAACTCAAACCGATAATGTCATAAATGGGTCTAGCCCATTTATACTTTGATAAGCCTTTATTTGTTTTGGGCCACTAAAGACTTTTATTATTGACAAAAGAAAGAAATTCAAATCAAACAAAACACTTCTCAGAACTTGATGCTAAGCAATGAGCAATACAATAGAGTATTCTCCCAACGAAGAACATGATGAAAAAATAAATCAATTAATTTGAAAGTCATAATAAGGTGCCATTTCATTCATGGGAATAGATGTCTGGAATCAGAATCGGACTGGACTATTTTGATTTTAATTGTTTGGTTAGAAGGAATTGGAATCTCATTTCCATTCCTGGTGGAATGATATTCCTCCATTTGAGGGAATGGAATGATCATTCCCTTCCTTCTTTTGAGAATGAAATTTCATTTCTTCTAATTTTAATTTTCATTCCCATTTCCGTTTGAACTAAATAAACTATGAGAGTAGACTATTCCAATTCTAACTCTAAAGTATTTAGATTCCGATTTTAACTGCAAACCAAGTGGACCCTAAATCGGGCCAATTCACCACCGAACCAACATTTGGAGATTCAGGATGCCAATGCAAAGCAAAACCATAACACACCATTCCAGCAATGTCACAGTGTCAGAAGTCCAAAGATTATGCTCTCTCTGCAGTCTCCACCTCATCACAACCATGGCAAGGATCTCACCTTAGGATGTGTTTGGAAATGATGCAAATGGATTGTAAATCCCGATTCAGGGTAAATTTGTACTTTGGTTCATTTTTGCCTGTATTTGGTAATATTACATTTATGCATTGACAAATGACAGACTAAAGCATATTTACATTGATAATAAGATGTAAAAGTATATCAATAAAAAAGAAGTAAATTTGCATTCAAGTGGGGTTTTGATAAAAAAAAAAAAAGCATATGCTTTATTGGAATTCATGTTTACATCCATTACAGCTAAAAAGTCTATTCGGTAAAAAGATAAATTTGTCAGTGCATAACTAACCCAATTTTACAATTTATATAAACCATTTGACACTATATATTTACATTCACACTTATTTACATCATTTCGAAACGCATCCTTAAATCCTTTTGATAGCAATTTTCACGAAAACATTTGCAAAGCCCAACACATATGCATAAACAGGTTTTGTATAAAACAACCCGATCTATTAAGAGCCCAAGCCCAACCGTCATATGAATCAGCCCACGTTGGTAAAGTCTCCTTGCAACACGCCACGTCTCCATTGTATATTTTTCCCAATCAAGTCTAATACATGTAGGGCATCATCATTGAGGAGGGACCAGATCTTCGTATCCCTACAGAAGTCGCCAACCCAATCCAACGTTCAGGGCTGGCTTGAGAAGTTGAGCTGTTGTCTGTCTCATCAGCCTTGAGTGGGCTGGACTTGAAATAAGGGCTTTTCAATCCATTGCAACTGTTTGCAAATGTATTAACTCTCAAAGAATCATTCGCCCTAAAATCTTAAATTGTTAGGTAAGTTCCTTGAATTGAATAGGTTCTTATGAGGTTCAGACGTTTCGTGCTGTTCAATACCATATCCATTGTTAAATTGTGGACTCCTGATGATAAAAATAAATATGAAAAAAAAAAAGAAAAGTGTTCACCATATTCAAATGAAAAATAAACATACCACAGAAGTCACAAGAAAACGCAAGTCTCCCTTAATCCTTAGAGAATAGTGGAGTTGCACGCCTGCTCCTCCTCTCTTATTTGTTCTCCACATACAGCTCCTTCTTACTTCTTTCAATTTGTTTGAAGGGACAATTGATTAGAAGCGTCGGACATGCAAAAATACTGGACTACTGGGGGCTTTGTTTGGGAATTGGGAGGGATGAGCGAGCTGATGAAGATTCAACTAAAGCTGGTTCAGCTGTTTTGAAGCACTGTAGATGAGAAGCCCCTCCAAATAATTAACTGACTACAGTTGATCTGGGATCTCCAGATCTTTCACCAAACATAGCTTCGCCGTCCATGTTGACACACCTCAAAGAGGTAGAAGCCACTGGGCTTAATCCCTCCTAAATGGGCAGGGGACTTGGAGATGTGATTAAGAGCCCGTTTGGATCGCCTTTAGCTTTGATCAAACTGCTTTGAAGAAGTTACTAAAACTAAAGTAACTTCAACGAAAAATTGATTTTATAACTGAATGGAAGCACAATTGAGCTTTCCAGTTTTTTCACCAAACATAACTTGTAGACTTTCCATATAGAGCCCACCTTAGAAAGCCAGAAACCTCTCTGTGAAAGCCCTCCCAAGTCCCAACCCAAGCGGGCACTAAGCAGTAAATACTAAATAGTAACTAGCAAGCACCTCTGCGGCAGCACTGTGAGCACGCGTAGAATTGTTAGCATGTGTAAACCCTGTTTGGTTGCTTTGCAATCACTTTCTTCACCAAGTGCCTTGATTATTTTGTCTGTTCGCTTTTTTCAGTGAGCTTAAAAGACATTTTGTACTTATTACATTCCCACTTGACACCAATCCCCTGAGGGAGTAATGTTGACCATGACCCTTTCAATTGCACACTAAATCATTATTAGAAGTAAAAATATATAAATAAAAAGGGTATTCCAAAAATCCAAATAAAGGGAATTCATTTCTCTCTCTCTCTCTCTCTCAAATGTTTTCTTTTTCTCAAGTGGGTAGCAGATGATAGTATTGAAGAGATCATGTAATTTCTAAGTCCAGGCATGCAGGTTCCAGTATTCCACAACATGGAAATGAATGAAAGGGGGGATAGATTCATGGTTGGTGGTAGCCCATGCCGTGGTCCACTATTAGTATAATATGATTGTGGGTTTCAGTTTGACAAGTACCAAAGTGCCTTTCCATCCTCATACACGATGATGGGGACGATGGCACCAAGGTTTTCCAAACACCTTACTTTGAGTGTCTGCCAAACCTCTCCTACTCCTTACCTGCTACATGCAACAATGTTGTCCTACTCCACTCCAATGTTATGTTCCCATAACACATCTGTTGAACGATTAAAAACAAATAAACAAAGATTGAAATCATTTTCATTGAATTTATAATTAAATGTATTTGACCATTTTTTTTATTTTTGCATTGAATAATTTACCAAAGTTTAAAAACAAGGGAACACACAAATTAATCAAAATAAAGGGGGTTAGGTGCAAAGATTGAAACAAAAAAAGGGGGAGGGAGGGAAAAGAAAAAGTAACTTTCCTGTCTTTCTTCCTTTTTTGGCTCTTCTTTCACGAGGGTAGCGAGTGATCTGAGTGAAAAGGGTTGAACCAGAAACTATGTTGTAAGTACCTATGCACATAACAAGGGTGATTTATTAAGACACCGCCAGTCTTGTGTATTTATTAATGACCCACCCTTTAAAGTTTGCCTATTACTGAAAAATACACCCCATTTGCAACAGCATTACTTTTGGTTGGTATTCCTAATCGATCCTACGTTCCCACATGTGTGATCAGTGGTTACCTTGTGATGATGTAGGGACTATGGAGGTAATAATAACAAACACAAGATGTAGGGTAAAGTGTAAACATTATTTGAACATATTCACAAAGTTCACCCGCATATATGGACGAAGGGAGAAGGGGGGGGGGGAGGGGGCCATGCTGGGTCGTACGATATCAAACGTACAAAAAAAGCACACCACATTTGAACTTTGAACTTTGAAGGAACTCTCTAGGGTTTAGGGGGAGCAGTGGATCAATGGGGATGGGGATGGGTGTGTGAAGTGAACAGGGGACCTAACACTTACAGATTCCCTTTACTGAAAGCTGGCCTGCACATAAGTTAGGTACCCTATGATGGATCCTAGTTGTACATGTCCTCTTCATGGCAGCAATAGGTAATATCATTTTAACATGCTTGCTCCCTTTTCTTTTTTGTTTGTTTTTTCTCTGTTTGTGCTACTTTTTTTTTTATGTTTGTTTGTCTCAAGTCTCAATACAATCAGTTTCTAACATGAAAATTGAAAATTCTTTCCTCCCTCGCCACTCACCAGTTGAGTTCACCCAGTCTCAAGAAAAAGGTTCATCTACTTTTTCTCTCTAGTGTTGTCTTAACTTTGATGCCAAACAAGCTAAAAAGTTAGGCAGGCCAAASAGGCAAATTCAAAGACAGAGTAAAGACCCAATTGCCAATGCCACTCACTCTCCACCAAAACAAATTAAGGAGCTTGCCCACACAACCCCAAAAGAATTCAAGTTACTGCATTATGGGATGCATGTTGTAATTGTGGGGATTGTAGAGTTAGGTCCATCATATGTTTTATATGTTCCAATCACCAACACTTGCTATTGCACTTTACAAATGCGGACGGAATACCCAATTACCCATATGCCCGATTCATATATAAAATCAAAAAACCCACAGCCTGATAACACATGCCATTTTTGTTGCAAGTTCAAACTTCGAACCCCAAAGAGAGAAGTGATTGAGACATAACTAACCGGTACCACCTATGAGCCTTCGCTATCACTATGATACATCATTGATATTATGGTGTAGGAATTGGAATTTTGGAATGATGCTAGGCACAGGCATCAAGGCGGGCCTACAACAAACACACAGCATTCACCCAATCACAACAAACACAAAGCGGCAGATGTCGTCGGATTGGGTTGGATTGGGTGGGTTCAAATGTTCAACAATCAACCATCCGCAACCCCGCACACACGCGCCTCAAACCCAACCCCGTGACACTCTCTGCCCCGCTCAGGCTTCAGCGCTCTTTTCTCAGCCCTGGCTACTCACTTATCATCCATCCTGCCCCCGCACCAACCCTCCCACAATATTTTAAAAAGAAAAAGAGGAAAAAAGCCCAAATGGAGAGATTAGTCTAGTGTCTAGTCAACATCATTTCTTTCTTCACTTCCAAAGAAAATCCACAACACAGAAAGAAGATCTCTTTCCTCATCACCCATTGGCAATAAAACAACACAACCAAACATATTAATAATATAACCCCAAAAAAAAAAGAAGACAACTGTTTTAAGGGAAAAATGGGAAAAGAAAAGAACAACTTTTATGTTACCAATGTAACCTGCATTTTCACTACTAATAACGATAATACCATCACCCTTTAATCCTTTTATACATTACATGCATACCTCTCCTCCTCGCTCCTCCCCAGCCCAGCCCATATTTAATTAGAAACAAACCACATAATGGGGGGTTATTTATGTAACTTCCTTCAACGAAAAGACACGAATTACAGAGGTTAGAGCTAAACAACCATGGGTTTACGCACGAAATATCGGTAAGCAGCGACTTTCCTTCTCCGAGATTTAGAGTTATCGACGGACAGCACCATTTTCCCCGGCTCCTTCGAAGTGAACGAGGCGTGGACCGGTTCTTCCGACGGGGCAACTCGCCTTGGCTTCTCGATAACCACCGTGTAGCTGCCTTCTGTACTCGGCACGAACTCTGCACTGTAATCCAAATCCCAACCACCCACCACTATATCCCAGGTTATGGTTGCGCCACCCTGATTTATGCAGAAAATTCTTCTTAGTAAATTCAAACTGAGATATATATATATATATAGAGAGAGAGAGAGAGAGAGGGAGAACGTGTCCAAAATCCAAATATTTAAATTTCAAACGGCAATAGGCCAACGGCATACCTCAATTCCCTCGATCTCTAAGTTCACTTTCTCTCCTCCTTTGACTGTGAATTCCGACGCTGGCTTGGGCGGTCCGTTCTCCAAATCTGTGGGACGACTCAGCCCCCCGTACTGAACGGGAACGTTCTCCGGCCTTATAAACCTAATCACACAAACAAAAAGCTAAGCAGACTGGGAAACCAAGACCCAGGAAAGATTTTCGATTATAATTCTATTTTTGGTGCAAGCGCACTTGCAGACTCAAAATAACTCGCAATAGTTAAAAGATGGAATTCCCGTAAATGAAAACTTCAAGTTCTATTTAATTTTAACCACAAAAAGGCAAGATAAATTATCACAGAAAGGGACGAAAGTCGCTTTACAATTCCATCTTCAACTAAAACAATACACTTAAATGACAGCAACAAATATGCATTTAGAATCAACACAGTTCACCAATGAAATCGACCAGAAAATCAAAAATAAACCTGAAACAACGAAGACCAACTCTAACAAACCCATTTGCAAAATCCACTTCACACACTTCACCAGATAACAAAGTTCACAGGCTCCGTAACCACATGGAGACAGAACCGGTATAACGAGTTCGAGGACATACTTATATAGAGTCTCGGCAACATTTCCTTCTCTAGCGATCACGAATTTGCTCTTGGTCCGTTGGGTAAGGAATGGACTAAACATCGAATACAACATACTGAAGTACCACGGAACGTTGATGAATACCTGATACATCAACACCCACATTTTAAGAAAATATATATCTCAATATCAAAAAATAGAAAAGGAAAAAAAAAAAAAAAAGACAATGCGGGTCCGAAAGCGCAACTAGTTTACCTTCCGAGCAACCATTTCAGGATAATTATCTTGAAACAGAGAGAGAATCTGGTTGGAAGCGACCCTGAGCTCTCTCTTGGGCATGTCTTTCAGGTCAGTCACCTGAATGATGGAATTAATTCCACCAGGCTTGAAATGGAGAAGGTTTATGCCTCTCTCCAGAACTTGAACTCTCCACCTCAGAAATTTCTTCAGCTTCTCTTCGTCCCCAAAAATCTTTTCGTACATGTCCTTATCTTTGAAAACCCCATAAGCATTGTAGCAGACGGGATGCCCCTCTCTATCGTACGCATGCATGTAAGCGACCACCCCTTCGAGATCCTTAAACCCCAAATCCTCATCAACAATGTTGTCAGCACCGAACTCTTTCCTCCAAGCCAAGCATTTCTGCAACATGGTTAGAGCGTCTGAGACCCTGAAATCCCTCGCTCGGAGAAACTTCAACAGGATCACATCAGCCTTTTCGTCTCCACCCAAAAGGGGAATACCCCACATGGATTCAGAGCCATGAGAATCCGAGAGCTTATCCTTGAGCTCTTGCAGAGCCTTCTTCTCGGAAGCTTTCAGGTGAGAGATGAAGTATGTATCTTCTTTGAAGGAAGGGGAGCGAAGTGTAGCGGCTTCAATTAACGAACTGACGAAGCTTTTCCTAAAGGGTTTCGGAGAGGCATCTGGATTTTCCTGTGGGGTTTGTGGGATTGAGAGAGGCGATGAAGCTTCCATTTACGGTCTTGTGGGAAACAGAGATGGAAGAAATCAGTGGGAACAAAATGTTGAGGGTCACACTACACAGCTAAACTAGAAACGTAATTATGTTGGTTTCAAAGTCTCTCTTTTTATCTCCCTAATAGTAGTATATAGTATGGTGGCTCAGAAGCTCTACTTTCGATTCTCTGAGGTCTGATCTGCAGATGTTTCTTTGGGTGCAGAGAAAGAGAAAAGGATGGAGACAGAGGAAACAGGGTTCGGAGAATGAGAGTGGACTACTGAGAGAGTGTCTGTGTCTGCTTGTATTATAAAATTATTGCTGTCGTGGTAATAATAACTATTGTAAATGAGTCGAGCCGCGTCTAGGCTTTGAGCGATCATAATATGGCTCAGCTTGAAAGTAAGAGGTCCGTGCCGTGCAGAACTGCAGATGACGAGTGGAGGAGGCGAGGAACACATTAGGCACCCCTCCGGTCCCTCCACCACCCTCTTTCAAAAGTTTTTCTTTATTTTTTTTCTTTTCCTTGGTGCGGCTACACAACCGGGTGATAATTTCAGCCCGGCCGAGTCCGCACAACTCCGGCCTGGAAACGTCGAGCTCGGGCCTGTTTTTGTATCCAGTCCAGCAAATTTTAGGGTAAGGCTTCGGCCTACTATTGTTGGATTTTAATCTCATTAGAGATTAAATCCAATTTGATTTGATGATTGATCAATTACATGAAACAAAAAAATCTATAGACATGTCTTGGAAAATAGTTTTTTTTTTCTTATTAAAACTAATTTTCAATTTGTCCCATATCGGAAAATTACAAAAATTGTTTTGAGTTTTTAAATAAAAAATTATTTGCGCTCCTTAGAAATAAATAAGAGAGTATAAAGACTTACTACGGTGCATGTGTGCCATGCAATGAGGCACACTTTGTTTACACCCACGTGTCTTGCAAAAAACAGTTTTATTCCAGAACTCTTAAAAAATTATTTAAGAAGTGTAAATCAAGTATTTAAATACAAGTTTTTGAAAAACACTCTAGTCTCGTTCTAAAGACATTCTCTTTCCATGGCCCCATTTTTTCAACAAATACTTCAAGCCCAATCAATGGTCTCCAGCGGAGATCGGGGATGGAGATTAATTTTAAAATCGAGGCCGAGGGCATGAACATCCCCACCCCATTACCATTCCTATGATTGGATGGCAACTCCCCCAATCAATGGTCGAGTTTTTTTTTTTTTTTTTTTGAAACGGATTTTAAGAGTTACAACCTATCCGATACAGATAGAATTAAGTATTATTGCAATAATTTAAATATAATAAAACATATTTCATTTTAATTTACTTAAATAAGTAGATTTATCCAAATAAATTATGTTTCCTAGACAAAAAGTTGCCTGAATACATTTGGTTCCACTGTTATTGTACAATATAATTTATTCGCATAATTAATGAGAGAGGCGGGAGGGGAAGGGCATTATCAGCCAGCATATACAGTAGCCGAATAACTAATACTCTCATGCAAAATTCACTTACCGTGGAACCATTATATGTGGATACATTGTGGTCAATTTCTGAATTTACCAACTTACCCCCTTTGGGATAATGGCAAACTAATGGAGGCCAAAGTATCCTTGATGCTTATAATAGAATTAATATAGAAGGAGATAATACATACTTCCTAAATTGGAAATTCTAAGTATTCTTCAACTCGAACTTAATAATGTTTTGAATCTTATTTCTAGAATAATAAATAAGTTGTATATTTTACACATGTTTTAATCAAATAATATGAATTTTTAATGTTTATTTGTGTTTCTACTATTATTTTGATAAGGCTGTGTTTGATTTGAAAGAAAAAATAGGAAAAAGAAAGGAAAGGTAGGAAATTTTCTATAAATCTTGTATAGATTTTTCTATCTTTTCCTGCCTTTTCCTTTAAACCAAACATAGCCTAAGAGAGGTGAGAGATTTGAGACGATGGAAAGGATTTAGAATTTACTAAACCCATCCCTATAACCTAGACAATGTATCAATCCATCTCCAATGTGGTCGATGTGAATTGTTTATATGATATAGACCAGCCTAGCCCTGTCATCCCCTATACATGCCAGAGTTTCCCAATTTTGATTTCATCAAACAATTGATGGATAAATTATCATCGTCATGGTAATAACAAGAAAATCCTCCATACATTCAAACATTTATAATCTGTGTAAAACCGTAAATAAATAATTAAAAAGAAGAAGAAGAGAGAGAAAGAGAAAGGTAATAACATCATTTAGCCAATAACAGCAGTATATGACAAAAATGTAGTACAAGAAAGCCCATATCGATTTAATGGAAAGAATCAAATAATGAACTAAGAAAAGTACATAATAAACATAGTACAAAATTTAAATGTTAAAAAGCAAACAATTAAGGCATAACCTCAAAACTATTCAACTAGCACATAAATTAGCTCACAATTTCTCTATCTGACTAATTTACCACTTTTATATACCAAAAACTTTTCCTACCATTTTTTCTACCCACAAGCAAAATCTAAGTAGAACACAGATTCCACTCCCATGTTTGGAGAACATTTCAATGGCAAAATAACAACCACAAATTCAATGTTCAAATATAAAATATGCCCATAATATATTATAATCATCCATATTTTTCCATTGGATAGTTTTGAAATATGAACTATCAAATATTAAACTTTTGTTCATAAAAAATGCATATATTTGTTAGGGTTCTTTATTTATACAGCATTTTTCTGTGTCTTCGCAAAGTAAATGCAATTTTTTTTAAACCCTAAACTTTATTCCAAGTGGAGAGATGGTCACCTTAAATTTTATTAAGGCTCAGTTTGGAAGGAGTACAGTATAAATACATATAAAATAATATAAAATGTAATGTTTTGTACTCTACAAATTTATATTTATATTCCTTGGAACCTAAGGCTTAGTTTGGAAAGAGTATAAATGCAAATATGTAGAGTGCAAAACCTTATATTTTGTATTATTTTGTGTATATTTGCATTTATACTCTTTCCAAACTGAGCCTAATAAGCAAAATCATAAAGTAAATGATACAAGGGATGACAAAGCTCACCTTGCCCCAAAGCTCAGGATACAATGCACACCCTTACACTCAACCCCATGACCCCTTAGCTGATTCTAATTTTCGGCAAATACAATAAATCTTCAAAAATAAAAGACCTAACAACACGTGGAATAATTGACACATGATCAAAAGCGGAAGACCTCCACCTAGACCTGGCAAAAAGTTGACCCAACCCAACCTGAAAAAACAGGGTTAGGGTCTCATATTTAGCTACATGAATGGGAGAAGAATGACTCGACCCAACCCAAAAAAAAAAGGGTTGGGTTGGATCATGGGTCAACCCACTGATCTGATTGCCAAGTCTAATTGGGACTATTTATGCATTTTTAGAAGTTTCCACTCTTTAATATTTTCTATTTAGTCTTTACTCTCTATTGTTTACTCTTTGAATTGTTAAATGTTCAAGTTTTTTTTTATTTTATATTTGGAATTTTAAGATTAATTCCTTTAATTTTGACATTTTCATGTATTTTTCTTTATGTTTTTAAAATTCAGTATGACCCAAATTGACCCATGGGTCAATCCTAACCCGAACATTTAAGGTTAGAGTCTAGCATTTGACAATCAAACCTAAAATCAACCCAAAGTGTCTTGCCCCAATCCAAACCTGACCCACCCAACCCAGTTGCCAGGTCTACCTCCACCACTTCAAATTTCACAAAGCATCCACTATAGAATTACCTTCTGTGGGAGTATGGTGGACTTGAGTTTTGGTGAAACAAGAAAATGATTCATGAATGTCATCAATCTAACCCAATAAATGCCAAGGAGTTTTAGCTTTGCCTTGAATAATGTCAACTATTAGGTCACTCTTTACGAGAACTGAATTGAGACCTAGCGCCTTAGCATGAATAATAGCATCTAGAATAACTCAACATTCAGCTATAATATTAAAGCCTTCATTATAGAAGGAGGTGAAGGCAAAAGCATATATTTTGTCTAATACCAAAATATTATAAAAAAGGGGTTTTAAATGCATGCCATATCTATATTATATAAAATATATAATTGTCTTAAATTTCATGTAGATCATAATAAAAGTAAATTAAAATATCATATATCATATATTATATATAATTAATATTAATTTTTTATACATATACATGTCATATACACTTATACTAATAAATATAAAATCTTTATACCATCCACATGCAATTATATAATTTGCCTAAGAGTGGGATTATCACGTAAGACATAGATAAATTGTCCACTTGAAATGATAACTACCATAAGCATATCGACGAGTTTATTTGTCAGATATATATTCTTTTTTCTATTCCTTAAAATTTTTTTTATAAAATAAAAGGAACTACACAAAACGAGAGGTAATACGTATCCACAAATAAAAAATGCAAATATAAGAAATATCCCAAAGAGATGTTGTTCACATTAAAAAATAAAATATCCAATGTAGTTTATTGAGCTTCATGGAAAAACCAATCCACCGCCTAATTTGTGTGGTGGTGATAAGATTGTCTTTCTTGAACATATCCTTCATCTCCGAGCAGTTTGTGGTGATGCTCTTCAATTGCCAAAACACAAAATGACCAATTAATTTGGAGTCGCCTTTGGTGGTTGTGATACCAAGTTTGTATGTTTTAAAGTCAAGTATAATTCCCAAATGATCTCTAGCAATCGAGCAATCAACACAGTGAAAATCATTCCATACGAAACAACATTGTTCTTGTAAGTGGAAATAATGAGAAGATTACAGTCACTCTTGGAGTGGTTCCATTATTTTTCTTATTATAATTTTATTTGCTGGGGTTTAATGGCATCATTGAGGCATTGAAGGGATTGAATCACGTACCCTAAGGCCAATGCTATGTGGCCAAATACCAACACTAACTCCCGTAACGTAAATTTGATGTTTTTTCTACAACTTTGTTATCCAGTGAGATACTACAGGTTTTCCGATTTAAAAGATGTAATTTTCTTGTACTAACAAGGAAATGGTGTATGGTGTAGGAAGGAGCCTTCAGAATTCACAAAATTGAATCTTTGGGCTCTTTTCCTTTTTTTTCATATGCCCAATTAGTACGACAGGTAAAATCTAATGGAAAATGCAAGTGTAAAACCCAATATTAAATATAAAAATCAACATGTAAAACCCAATGCCAGATGCATGCCTAAAAAACCAAATTGTAAAATCCAATCTCGCCCTATTGAACCACCATTTTTCTCA